CTGGTTCCCCAAGCTTAAAAGCTGTAAGAACCTAGAAATGGTGGCAACAGGGAAAATACCAAGATCCCCCTTTTCTCACTGATTCTGTAGAAGACCCCACAGACAGGCCAGTGAGGACTTCGGGATATCTGTGTCAGACCCATGGGACAGGAAATGCTGACCTCAAGTTTTTCTCCTTGCTGGGAAGAAACTTTTCATTTCTGATTAGGGTAGTGAACTGAGTTGATAAGCTTCTATCATAGTGTGAATTTCAGGTATGTTAGCTCTAGTTCTAATCCTTTCTGTAATGTTGGCGTAGTGCTTAACTTCTTTGTGTGCCTATCACAACGGTGCCCGCAGCCAGGCTTCTGTTAGCTCAGCTGTCACAACAGATTTGTACAAGAGCAACTTACAGCAGGATCAAGGGAGAGAATGAGCACCAGAGGGTTAGGCCCAATGCAGTGTATAATGTGATTAAATGTAGAGTTCAGAAAACAGACACACCTTTAAACAATTTCGGATGTGGAAACAATGCACCTGCCCTCGATATTTATTAAATAACAATACAGGTTAGGCATAGAATGTCTCCTTTTCTGGGCAAAAGAGCTCACTGCTTTTCAAGTCAGAGGGCTAGAAGAAGTGATGTAGTACCTTCTTCAACCTCAAGGAGCTGTGTCAAGGATTCACAAAGCCTCAGGGGACAGAGCGTGTTGAGGTCCTTGGGTAAGAGGTAATGAATGCGTAGGTACCAAGTTGGGCTTAATGAGGGAAATAGTTATTATTTGAATTTCCCTGCAGACAGTAAACTGGAGGATAGCAGGGACCAGATCTTTCCTGTTACCTGCTGTAACCCCCATGCTCAGCCCAGAGCTGGCGTGCAGGAGGCACTTGATGAATGTTTGAGAAATAAAATGGAATCAAAGCCAACAGTGAAACATATTTATATATATATACAAAAAGCTATCAGTGACTTTTATTAATGCCAGTCAAGTCCGGTCAAATTATGGCTGATATTATGAATACTATTTCATTATCTATTACCAATCATGTTCTGTTTTTTTATTTGAGTTATAGTTGCTCCTGACATTTACCCACGCTTCACTGACATTCAGAGCACTGGGCAGAAATCATGTTGCATCAATACCTGCCACAGGCCTTTGGGTAACAATCATGTTTTATAACATCATTGTAACAACAGGACTTTATAGGTCAACACTGACAGCTTTATAGTGTTTAGGTGACTCTTCATCCAGGTCACTGAAAGACGCGGTTTGTTCTTTCTGTTGCAGAGTTAGTTATAGTTTATGGACTGGGCCACTGTGAGCCCACAGAGGACCTTTGTGAAATTAGGAAAAGAAGCCCCCTCCACCTCTGACATGTGTGGCCGTGCAGGGGCACGCAGACTGGGGCTCAGCTCTCCCTCGCCCCTCAGCAGGACACCCTTGTGCGGTGAGAAATCCTCGTGGCCATATGCCGCACCCCTGTTTGCTGAGGACCTTCTCATGTCACAGCCCACTTGGGTAATTACACACATTATCATCTTGGCCAATTCTCCTAACAAGACTGAAAGGCAAACATAATATCCTCATTTTACAGATGAGAACACTGAGGTTCAGAGAAGTTAGGAACTTGTCTACATCGCACAGTTGTGGAAATGATGGACTCAGGATTCACACCCAACGTCAGAACAGTCTGGGAAGCCCTGCCCCAGCCCAAGAGGAGGGAGGTCAGACAAATTCAAACACTGCACTTCCCTCTGCAGCTGGGGATGGAAACGTTCTGAATGACATGCAGTCCCGCGTCTGAAAGGAAACGTTAGTGGCAATTGTAGACTTCCTCGCTGTGTTCTCTGAGAGACAGTTTGAAACAACCGTTTGTTTTCCAACCTTCTCATTTACTGATTCTGAACGTTCTTTTCTGAATAGACTGAGAGAGATACCAGCACCAGAATGAATGGAATTACCTTACTTTTCTGTCTCTCCACCATAGTCTCTTCCTCGCTAGGGCCATCATGTGGAGTGTAAGACCGGTGATGGCTAACACCGATTGTCACTTGGGGGGTGCCACTCGCTGTGCTGGTGCTGTGCTGTGCAGGCGTTTACTGTGTAATCCTCACAGCAGCTCTGCAGGTGATGAAACTTAGGCACCAAGAAGCTTCGTAAGACTAGTGAGTGGAGGAAGCAGGATTCAAACCCCACTACATTACAGGTGTCATTTTCAAGGTCATAAGATCTCTGTCCTCCCTTTTAGTTAATCAATGTAAGTACAAAATGAATCTGTCACTACTCTTTTAGCATTTTTCTGATTTTTTTTGTGATCATTTTGAAGGTGGTTTAGCTCTTTTGGGCTACTCCAGAAAAACATTAGAGAGAGTGATATTCTTTAGTAATATTTCCCAGCTTGAGTGACTATTTTCAGGTTGTGTTATAAAAATATTGTATGTTAAGGATGTTTCCCTACATTAGGTGTACCATTAAGATGAGGAAAAGTACATAAGAATGGAAATTGGTACTGTGATCATGGGTGTGAATATTCTAGCTATGGTAAAAACTGATAGGTCCCTTTGGCACTTAAGCTTGCGATTTTGGGGGAAAACTTAGACTGATAGCATAATATATTTCTCAAAAATATATAATTGTGTGGCTATGATTTGGGTGTCAACACATTTCCCCCCACTGCTTTCTGCTCTGGAAGAACGATGCTTTTAGAACGCGCCCAGAGCTGGAACAGCTGGATTGAGCTGGCGGTGCTGATCACTGTCATGACTATTTCACCAGAAAATATGATTTGGCAGATGTCTGTGATTCATTTATTAACGCATTCCCCTGTTAATTCCCTAGGGCAGTCATCACCAGAACATCCCTTGTGTGATGTATAAGTGAATTGTCTTGTCATAGCAAATTTCTTTATAGACCTGAGAAATCCCTTGGGTTAAGTTACCTGACATGCTATTAATCTGCAAGCCTCATTCACGATGAAGCCAGAGGGAGGTGCAGGGTAGTTCTCCTCCCAGTTCTGCCAGGCGCAGCCCTGGCACCTGCTGTCCCGCATCTCACAAAACCCTTCCTAAACGCTGCTGCTCGAGCCTCAGGCTCTGATCCCCATCCTGTCCAGGAGGCAGGGTGGGGAATGACTTGGGATGAGTAAATGTATTAAGAAGAGAAAGAATTGGCAGTGAGTTGAATTAATGATAACACGTAAACCAAGGAAGTGAAGAAGCATACAACTATTAAAAACAAAATATGTTTACCCGAAGTAATGGCTTACTATATGGCTCAGTTCGTCCAAGCAGACATTCTTGTTACATGTACACATGACAATATAGATATAACCCAGATTACCACATAATTACTTTTCTAAGTAATTACAAGTATACAATTAATGAATTGAAAGGAAACGTGACTATGTATGGGAGAGGGTGGAGGTGATGGGAAAGGAGTAAAAAGAGCTAAGCCTTTGTTCTCCATAGTGGAAGTGAATGGAAACACCCACTGGAAAATCATGAAACAACTACTCACACAGAGATACAGAAAAAATATCCCTCCCAAACAGGTAACAGAAAGACAGTATTTGCCCCTAGAGAAGGGGAGATAGGACACCTGAGTATTAGTTGTGCATCTTGAATTTATATAAGCACACAATTCTCACCATGTGCGTGTATAGCTAGGATAGGAGGTAACTTAGGGAAAAATGCAAAAAAAAACACCCCACTGTTTTTGGAAAAGAATATAGAAGGAGAATTATACCACCTAGAGGCCCATTTTAATGTGCTGGTTTATTTTCTTCCGATATCCCCCCTCCACTTGTGGTTTGCTTTTCCTGTCTTCCTCCCTCCCTCCCTTTCTTTCAGCATTGATACGTACAATATATACATATAGCTGCATACAAAATTGATAGCTGGCTGCTTGTGCTCTTAATTGTACAGCAGAACTCATGCTAATAAACACTTTATATGCATTATTTCATTTGATTAACCCAGCTGTGAGAGCTAATTTCTTAACATATATCAGAATTATTTTTTTATTTTAGCATATGGCCATAATAATCATTTTTTCATGGTAGAGTACTCTTCCACCCAGTGGAATATTTATCTCCCCCATCCCACCCCCATTTTTAGACTTTTAAGTTATTTTCCAGTTTTTGCCATTATAAAGAATACTGGAATGACATACTTTTCCCCAAAGCATTTTCCTGACATTTACGCTTTTAGGATAAGTTTCCAGAGTCAGTGGGTCAGAATGTAAACACATCACCACGTTGGCTTTCGCACCCACTGTTTAAGGTGAGGTGGCGGCTCACCTGCATCTGAGACAGGTGGGAGGGGCAGAGTCACAGCTGTTTTACAGATGCGGTCCTAGGGAACAGAGTTCCCGGGTCCCACGGCTGGAGGAAGAGCCATAATTCAAATGCGTGTTTGCCAAGTCTCTCTCAATCTCTCTTCCCACTCTACCCTGAAAATGAAATGAAACTCTCTGGCTGCACAGAACATGCCACCTTTCTTCTCGACATCTCAGTCTTTACCTGGCAGGGCTTCCCTGTCACGGGGCCTCTTCCTTTCACTGAGGGTCATCCTGCTTTAGGAGGAAAGGGAGGCATTTCAGGCAGCCCCAGGACCACCCATGGGGACATCTTCAACCAAGGCTAAGAAGGAGGAAAGGTGGAACAGGGGCAAGAATGTGAGAAAGCAAAATGTTCTCAAGTAGAATAGAGACAGGAGCCATGAGAAGATGCATAAAAGCCAACAGGAAAAAAAAGCCCTGTGGTTTTGGAGGACCTTAATGTTTAAGATGAGGTGTCGGAGCGGGAGACAGCAGAGAGATGTGAGCTAGGGAGTGTGTCCGGGTCATGGCGTGACCTTTCTGTACTCAGCTGTACCCAGCACTGTCCTAAACTGTTCAGTCTAGTTCTTGATAGCAGTATGCATTCTCAAGATAGCAACTAAACAATAATGTCTATTTTCAGTTTATTTTTCAAATGAATGACCAAAAAGTAACTTCAGATATGTATTTTTTTAACCACAGAAGAAAGTGAGTCTGGCTTTGTCCAACCCAAACCACTTACACGGGGAAGAGAAGCTACTATTTATGACAAGGTACAAAAGGAAAGCCTTTCTCCCCTGGAGAAGCTCAAGATTTCAGCAATGTCTGCAGCTAATGGTGTTAAATCCCTCCATGAACAGCCCATGGCAAAGGTTGCTACAGACCAACCGGGATCCATGGAGAAGACTCAATCTGTGGAGGGACTCAGGGAGTCTGGGCCACTTCAGCCAGGTGGCAAACATGATACTCAAAGAGCAGAAGTAAAGAAAGGTGTGGAAATGGTGACAGGGGCCCAGTCTTCAGAAGGAAATGCTGAGACTGAACCTCTAGTGGGGGAAGCCCAGGGTCAGCCTTTGAAGACAGCCGGAGAAAGGTACTCTCCTGGAGCAGTGGGTGATACTGAGATTCCGCTAACTGCCAGAGAGATGAAACCTCTAAGAATAGCTGAAAAAATGCCACCTCTGGAAGCAGGTAGAGAGCCACAGCCTCAGGAAGCAACGGGAAAGCCCCCGCTCCTAGAAACTGTTCCCAAGGAGACTGAAATTCCAGAAATTTTGGAAGGAAGTCAGCTTGTTGAAACAACTAAAGAGCATGAAGTTCAAGAAACACTGGAAAGGGATGAGCAGTCCCAACTTCTAAAGACAATGCCCAGAGAGAAAGAATTTCCAGAAATACCGGAAGAAAGTCAGCTTGTGAAAACAACTGTAAAGGATGATTTGATTCATAAAGCTCCTGAAGGTCCAGAAAACATGGAGCAGATTCAACCTGAAGGCATAGTCGGAAGCGTGGAGCATCCAGCAGGAGTGCCAGAAACGGGCACAGACATGGAAATGGTCAGGAAAATCACCTCGAACAAAGAGGACCACCACATCGAAGGTAAAGGTTATGCTGTTGATGGTTCAGGGTGTTTCAAGGGGCTCCATAAGAGATCCCCTCTGGGGACAGGGGTGGCTAATATATCGCCACTGAAGTCTCTGTCACAGGTGGTTGAAGTTCATTTGGCCCAAACCAAAAAGGCTTCCATACCTGGAAAACAGGCATTTGGCTTCCCAGCAAAATTTTCTAAAGCAGAGTCTGTGTCCACATTTTTAGCCTAGAGTCTCATCATTGACTAGAACCGAGTATGTTCTGCATAATAGAAGGCAACGTGTTAAAATTTCTGAATTTTTCCAGGTTACTTCTTTATTGAGTCTCATGCGTGATTATGAAGGTCCAAAGTACAGATGAGTAGAGGGTTAGTGGGGGAACTGACCTTCTAATGAAAGGCTACATAACAATGGATCTTATCCTTAGACATCACTGTCAGTCTGACCCTGTCCTCCTGCAGTCTTTTTACTGTTAAGAAAAGACTAGAGAAAATGTAGAGTGTTGGCATATGGTGTTGCCGAAATGTGCTTTACCAGCCTGAAACAAGTGGTGTCTACACTGTTCATTATTGATGTATAATAAAAAATAACATTTTTTATTTATTTCTTCTGGAGCATGATTCACATTTTGGCAAATTCTAGCTTTACACTATATTAAGCGACGCATGGAGCAGCCAGCAGGAATGCCATCTGTTTCTTCCTTCTTTCATTCATGACCACGGCAGTTTTGGTGTGCTTCATCATATGCCAGATGCTAGGGTGCAGACGGAGTAAGGTGTAGTAGCTCCTGTTCTCAAGGGGGTCACAGGCTAGTGGGGAGAAGGCAGAATTTAACCAATCTGGTGAGGTAAGCTCTCTAAATTATGTAAAGGTACTGTGGGAATCACAAGGGAGACACAAGAAAACGCATATATTTGTTAGACCAGGGTTGGCAAACCCAAGTCTGTAGGGCCTAGGATAATGACAGGGAGTGAAGTAAGGGGCTCATGGAATGTCAAGTGGCACCCAGGGGGACTTTGGTGACTAGGAGTATGATCCCATCAAAAGAGGTGGCTGCTGCTTGGCTCCACCCATGAGCTTGGGGGCCAACACTGTCCAAACTGACTTCTTAGGGAAACAGACTCGTATGTGCAGTCCAGACTCGGAATTGTTGCCATGGGCACTCAGAGGGTCTGAGAGAACCAGAGTAATTGTCTTTCTTGAAACCACCAGAAAAACTTACTCTTTAGACCTGAACATTAAGAGCTGTCCCCATTGGAATCCAGGTGTGGGTACTTTATTGTCAGTGCTACAAAGCATCTCTTAATATCTCCTTTGGTCACTTTTCTAGGTGAGACAGGAGAAAAGGTTGAAACAGAGAGGGAGGAAGTAAGCGAAGGAGCTGAAACACAAGAAGAAGAAATGGGAGAAGCCGTGGACCTTTCAGCAGCCACATAGAGAGGTGTGGTGAGAGAAGGGTGGTGGACCCGCATTATCATAGAGCACAGGAAGACGGAGTGAGGCTGTGGTTACAGAGCTTAGCTTTCAAGATCTACATGTTTTATACAACGAGTGTGGTTATCATGTTCTTGATTACATTGCTCCATAAAATGACTTAGCTGTAAACTGTTTTCTTAGCTGCTTAGACTATACTTTTAAAAAGACAATAGCCAGAGCCAAGAACAACTAGGGTTTATGAGTTTGAAGGTGTTTTCTTCATTGTGGGCATGGGCCCATTCAGTGTAGAAAATGAGATCCAAAAATGAAAGTGTAAACCTTTAGGTATAGGTGGCTGGAGGAGGGAGTTAGGAAATTTTAAAGTGCTCAGGATAATAAAGTCACACGGTTATAATTACTATGGAATGAGAAGGAACAGCAAAATGGTGCAAGCTACACCTGGGATGCCTTTCCTAGCACAGAATTTAAAGCTAGTAGAAACCTTAGCAAGTATGTCATCGAATTACCTTCTCCCCTGAAGTCTGTCTATTACTGCGGAGCCTTATTCATCATGTTAAATACTTTTAACAAAATCCCTGTCAGAGGAATTCACACTCTGGTGCTGCTGCAAGATGAGACATTTTCCCAACGGAAGGCTACACATTTTCCATGTGCCATTTGAATCTGTTGATTTTTCCCTCAAGTGAGGTGTTTCAATTGCTGTTCCCCTTTTGGCATCGAAGTTATTTTAAAGTAATCGACTTTTAAATGTGTTTCAAAGGCAACAAAGAGCGAGAATTAAAACTTAGGTTTGTCACCCCTGTGGAGTTACTCCTTGGGCCCAAGTCTTTTTTGGATTATTGTGATTTAATATTAGGCTATAGAGGTGGAAAGCAGCTAAGAAATCAAGTTTTTAAAACCATGTACAATCGTTCATTAACATTAAACGAGGCACCATAATAGAAAGTCACTTTTGGAGAATTTTTCCAAAGTTGCCAAGGGATTTTGGTAAGTGCTTATACGTGAATAATAATAATAGCAACCTTGCCCACCACTGAGTGCCTATGTTTATGAGTATCAGGATAGAGTTACATTCTGGAAGCATTTGGTTTCTTTATCTTTGTAAATATATCTTTTTAAGATTACTGCTCAGCTCCTGCATTAAAATGATTACTAAGATGACCTGTAAGTAATATAGGGTATAGTTGGAAGAATTATCATTTTAATCCTGAGTGTAATATTAATTTGTGTTTCTGACTTGGAAGAGTTGAGGTAGCCAACAAGCGGGGTTGCTCGAGTAGCTGGCATCACTCCTTCTGCTGCGAGAAGAAGCTGGATTCTGATTTCATTGAGAGCAAGGACCGTCGTGTATATCTGTGTGTTCAGGCATGTAGCTCCTTCAACAGACCATGAGAGATGCTTGATAAATATTTGTTGAGTCAATGAATGAAAAATAAATACCAAAGGCTCCCATTTACATTTACTTTGTTACCAAAGGATATATTTAAAATATGCATTGATGTAACACATTTTCCCCACCAAGGCTACTCAAACTCAATAACAAGCTATATATTTTGTGTAGTTCCAAAAAGAACAATGTTTTTAGGTCAGAAAGTGACATAAAGCAGAACTGATGTAGCATCTTTGAATCTACATTTTGTAATCCAAAGTTGTTTTTCTCTGACCAAAAGGTATTTTTATAGAGATATCTAGTAAGTAAAACATGTCAGAGCTTAGTGTAAAATGTGAATGATCACCTTAAAAAGTGGAATTATACTTTTATTAAGTACTGAAAGAGTAGGTAGGATTCATGTATGTAAGAGGCATAAAGTTCATTCTCCATCGTGTGGATTTTTTTTCAATATCTGACATATGTTAGAGACCTATTTAGAACTCATGCTTGAAAGGACTCTTTCTCAAGAACATTGTCATATTGTTGTAATGTAAAAGTTTTCAAATTTTTATTAATCCCATTATTTTCCATTAACTACTAAAATCATTCTCAGGGAAAACTTGGAAATATTTATAAATTTATGGTACTTCCTACACTTTTACCTTTGGCCTTTAATATGGTTACTAACACCTTGTTTAGAAACTGTTCTTATTCTTTCAGATAATATTAAGTTTTTATTCAAAACTTACAAGGAAAATTAAAATGTTCATACTATTTGAATATTCCAAAATTGAAATATTCCAGCTAAATAATGTTAATTATTTAAAAAAAACAAAATTAAAATAATAAATTTCTATAGTAAAACTCTAATACAGAAATGCATAAAACAAGCAGTGAACTTCTTCCTCCTATATCCCTTAGTTTTTCTACACAGAGATAATAAAAAGTTCCTTGTGTATACTTCCACAAGAAGGTGATGTCTATGCCAGGCTATATGTATACCCTAAAATAGAAGTGTATATTTATATATCCACATTTAAAGACACAGATGACAATTTACTAGCTCTTGCATTGTGAAAAGTGCATGTAAAATCACTGATCTGTCCTTTCCTGTGTTAGGTTGTTTTTCTTTTGCACAAGACTGATAAACTCAGCATAGCAAAGTCATTCTGATGCTACCTCCCCAGTATCTGAGAAGAGATTATCAATTTTGCCACCAGATTAAAAATGTACAAGTTGGAAAGAAGGCTTGAGCTGTTTATAATGAATTAATACAAAAACTACCATCAGGGCTGGATTTTCTAATCCTGGGTGCTATATAGCCACTTTGTAGCCCAGTTTGTATTCTGTTAAGATAATTTCAGTATTTTCTATTTCTAACTAGAGGGAAAGGGTGAACAAATGATCTGCCAGCTAGCATCCCCAGTAGGGACAGAATGTGTGCATTTACCAGCAGAGGGTGCAGCTGCAAACTGAACTCCCCAGTCCACACTCCAAAACTCTTGGCCAGAAGTGCTCTGCATCTGGCCTCCTGGGGGACCCACAGGAATGGAGCATGTGGTCAGCCTGTGACCATATTGTTTTTCTCATTTAGACTTTGCAGTAATAACTCCTAGAATAGTTAGTAACCTTTGAGCAGTCAAAACACCCATATCACTTCTTTGTTTTTTTAATCCTCACCCGAGGACATTTTTTCACTGCTTTTTAGAGAGAGAGGAAGAGAGGAATAAAGAGAGACAGACATTGATGTGAGAGGGAAACATTAATCAGTTGCCTCCATACGCACCTGGACCAGGGATGGAACCACAACTTTCGGTTACGGGATGACACACCAACTAACTGAGCCACACCGGCCAGGGCCCCTTATCACTTTTAACAAAGACCTTATTCCACATTTGGCCTTGGATTTAGAATGGCTTTTAAAGGAAAGTGTCTTTTCCACATTAACTAATCAAAGAGCGTTGGATGGTCATGGTCAAATAACCCTAGTAGGATTTACATCTGTGCTCCTTTTGAAACTGCAGTGGCTTGTCAGAGCATCTAACATTACAAGCATCTGAGTTTTATAATTTGGTGATGCAGTTAATTCTGAATTGTTCCACAGATGCCACCATAAACCATTCACATAGTCCACACACAGGCTGTGAGATAAAAGGAGAACGATCTTCTCTGTCTTTCCTCACGCCAAACAGCACGGCATGGCTGTGTCTGAGAAGTTGAAAGCATTTACTTACAGGCTGTCTTTTAATCTAAAATTTGTCAGCTCCTCTCCTCCCCAGAGCTTATAAAGTTAATGAGCATTTGGTTATAATCTCGAGGTTTAACTGCACAGAGAGAATCAGTGTAATTTCAGAGAGCCGCTGATAGGTGTGGAATTGCTCTTTTGAGTTTTTGTTACTATTAACTAAAGTTAGGGAGCTCCCTGGTATTACTAATTCACACAGAGTAAAATTGTAGGCTTTTAGCTTTACCTCAGAAATACCACTCAGCTAATTTACTGGACAACATTTGAGATATTGCAAGCTAACAATAATAATACCACTTCTGTGCCTAATGAAAGAAGTCTCCAGACCAAATCCAGGCTTTACTAACTTTTGAAGGTGGAAGAAGGACCAGTCCATATTCTAAGAATGTAAGTCACCCTTTCAGTTTAATGGTGTGCTACCAGCCTGAATAAGCATGCTACACTGTCAGCTGCTGGGGACAGGGATCTGCAAGCCTTAACAGTTTCTAGAAAAAATAATTCTGAGAAACCACCAAGGGATATTAGTTTTGTTTTGACATCTGCCTTTTTTTTCTTTTTTCTTTTTTTTAATTTAATTTTAATCATTGTTCAAGTACAGTTTTCTCCCTTTTACTCCCAATCCAGCCCACCCACCCAACCCTCCCCATTTCCCTCCCATTACCACCCTCCCCCTAGTTTTTGTCCATGTGTCCTTTAAATTTGTTCCTGTAAACCCTTCCCATCCTCCCCTGAAATTCCCTCTTCTCTCCCCTGTGGTCACTGTCAGCCTGTCCTCTATTTCAGTGTTTTTTGTTATATTTTGCTTGTTTCTTTGTTTTGTTGTTTAGGTTCCTGTTAAAGGTGAGATCATATGGTATTTGTCTTTCACCGCCTGGCTTGTTTCGCTTAGCATAATGCTTTCCAGCTCCATCCAAGCTGTTGCAAAGGGTAGGAGCTCCTTCTTTCTTTCTGCTGCATAGAATTCCATTGTGTAAATGTACCATAGTTTTTTGATCCATTCGTTTACTGATGGGCATCTAGGTTGCTTCCAGCATCTAGCTATTGTAAATTGTGCTGCTATGAACATTGGGATGCATAGGTTCTTTTGGATTGGTGTTTTAGTGTTCTTAGGATAAAGTCCCAGCAGTGGAATTGCAGGGTCAAAAGGCAGATCCATTTTTAGTTTTCTGAGGAAGTTCCATGCTGCTTTCCATAGTGGTCGTACCAGTCTGCAATCCTACCAACAGTGCACTAGGGTCCCCTTTTCTCCACAACCTCTCCAACACTTGTTGTTTGTTGCTTTGTTTATGATGGCCATTCTGACTGGTGTGAAGTGGTATCTCATTGTGGTTTTAATTTGTATCTCTCTGATAGCTAGCGATATTGAACATCATTTCATGTGTCTTTGGATTTTGCCTTTTTTTCTTGTAGAATATAGATAGTTCTCAAATTTTTCTTAGTAACTGTAGTTGGCTCTGGCCATGTAACTCAGTTGGTTGGAGCATTGTCCCAACATGCCAAGGTTGCAGGTTTGATCCCCGGTCAGGGTACATGCAAGAAGCAACCAATTCAGTGTGAGGGCAAACTGTTTATTTCAACTAGTGGTTATTTAGTGGATCAGTATGGGTTTGCTTCAAGTTTTCTGGATATCATAATTTGGTTAAAAAGCTTTTTGATAAAAACAACACTACTTTTATCTAAGTACTTGAGTGTGGCTACAGTGATTAATTGCAAAGAAGGACTCCTTTATTATTAAGATAATTTTTCTTAGTATAAAATGAGTAGATGTTCATGGTACAAACTTCAGAAAATATAAACCTTAAAAGGTGAAATCTAAATATTACATATAATTCAATCAAAAGCCATGTTGATGTATATGAGGGATTATTATTTTTAGTGTTGAAATAACAAGTTAGCCAAAGCACAACTATTAGCAGGACTTTGTCTATTGCACTGCTGAGAACAGCACTTTTGGGCCTTCCTCACTGGAGCCTATTGGAGTGAGTAGGTTAAAGAGAATGTTCCAATAAAACTTGCTCTGTAGTAAATATTGATTAGTGTTATAGAGAGAGTGACTATGCCCAATTATATTAGCACTTAGCTGAAAACAACTGCTGATAAGTTTTTTTCTCTGATTTTATTTTAATCATTGTTCAAGTACAGTTTTCTGTCCTTTGCTTCCATCCCAGCCCACCCACCCATTGCTGATAAGTTTTGATATTAGGGAAAAAAAACCACTAAAAGTAAATACTTTATTTGGCATTATTTTGAATACTTTTGAATTGCTGAGCAAATGCTAGAGAAAAGATTGTAAGCTCTTCAGAGGGCAGGGCAGTGCTCTAAAGGACCCAGGACAGATTCGTCACTCTGTAAAGACTTGTTGATGACAAATGCTTTTTATTCTCAGGTAATCTTGAAACTTTCCTCAGTACTAAATATAATTGGCTGTAGGGGAAAATATGGCCAAAATCCTTATAACATTATTTTGTACTTCTGGTTCCATATTTACAATTTTGATTAAATAAATAGAAATAATACAATGTTTGAAAGCTTTTCTCAGTATATTTTTAATCTGAGTTTATTACAGGAACATCTGAAATTACTTCTGACTCATTGTGTCCTTCAAAAAAAAAAAGGCATTCTTCAAACTTCACATTGTGGAAGACAAAGAACATGACCACAGCAGGAAAATACGGGTTACTGTTTTTAGACATCTCATGATAATTTCAGTAATGATAACACACTTCGAAGGGATAGCTCTTTCTGTATGTTTGAAAGGCTAACAGAAGTGTTCCTTTTCACAGGTAACAAAATCTAGTGATTTTCCTTTAGTGTGGAGAGAAGATTCAAAATCCCAACCCAGCCACTGACAAGTGGACTAACCTGGGTACCAGCACTTTATTTCCAGTTCTTCAGGGCTTGCATTTGAAGTCATGACCTATCTATAACCATGTCCCCCTTGCCCAGCCTGGACAGTTACCTAATTTTCTGGCTACAGTCATTGGTTTAGGAATGGGACCCTAACCGGAACTGCATCCGTCAGAGGCTTCTCTGAGACTCTCCTGCCAGAGACAGCAGGAAGTGATGTCCTTTTGCTGGGGTTTGCACCCTGGTAGTCTGTGTGTCTGGAGCTGCGGCATTTTCCCCTGAGAGACAGATGGTGCCATGAGGTTTCTGGAGCACGCACACCTAAGGTCAGGTGTACTCTGGACTTCTCTGTTATGTGAGTCTATGGATATTTTGTGGGGTTTTTTTTTTTTTGCTTGCTTACACTAGTTGGAGTACGTAGCCTTTTCAGACTGACTTCTTTCACAGAGCAACATGCATTTCTCTTTGTGACTTGATAGCTCATTAGTTTTTATTGTCAAATAATAGAAAGCCTTCTATCATCATCGATATGTACCAGGCATTATTCTAAGTGCTTTATATGTATTAATTTATTTAATCCTTACATCTTTATAAGGTAGGTACTGCTAATATCACCATTTTACAGATGAAACAGAGAAGACACATGGCAGGAGAAATGGAACAGAGAGCTTAAGTAACTCGCCCAAAGTGGTGGAACAGGATTTGT